GGCCGTTCCGCTGGAGTCCTGTTCGTGCCGCACCATTTTTGCTGCTTCCTTTTGACATCAGAGTGGCGGCTTGCGCGGGGTGCATGCGCTAATGCGAAACAGAGTGGGTGACATTGGTTGGTTGCTGCCGTTGCCTTCTACACATAGACTTCTGTTTAGCGTTGCCAGTTCAAATCCTTGCGCAGCTTGCGCTGCTGCATTCCTGATTGACAACGTTTTCTAGCGTGGATTCCAAAGCTGCTGCCAGACCCAGTAGCCTGCGCTAGCCACGCACTGGTGGCTAGTATCGGGTGAGTCGCGGTCGCTTTTGCTCGGCGACGCTAGTTTGATGCGAGATGCTTGTACTTCCGTTTGGTCATCAGGTAATTTTCCAGGTATGTGTGCCTTGTCCTCACTTGCGACGTGTGAGCGCGCTCGGTGTTCTGGGAGTGTCGTACTTGCACGTGTGCGGTGCCGGTGCGTACTGTCGGCGTGGCGTTTTCGGTCATGAAGGAGGACCAGGAGGAGGAGTAAGAGAAGGGAGAGCAGGATGAGGAGAAGCAGGGGTGAGGAGGTTGAAGTGATGATAGTATAATATAGGAGAAAGAATATGGTGTAGGTTGACAGATCATTCATGGACTCAGGTCAACTATCCGCAATCATGTTGATGTTCGGATGACGTTTTAGTAAGGGCATCCGCGGGGGCGTGAAGTTATTCACGCTTCATGCTTCACGCTCTGGGCGACATCAGAGCGAGGCGTGAAGTTCTTCACGCTTCACGGTTTGCTCTCGGTCGCTCGGCCCCTGGGGGTGCCCCTTCCTTGTCTGGTTTCTGGTTGTTTTCGGTTGTCTGTCCGTTGTTTCGGTCGCCCGTGGCCCCTGGGCTTGCTCTCGGTCGCTCGGCCCCTGCGGGGGCCCTTCCCTGTGTGGTTTTGGTTCTTTTCGGTTGTCTGTCGGTTGTTCTGGTCGTCCCTGGCTCCTGGGTTGGCTCTCGGTCGCTCGGCCCCTGGGGGCGCCCCTTCCTTGTTTGGTTTTGGTTGTTTTCGGTTGTCCGTCGGTTGTTTCGGTCGCTCCTGGCCCCTGGGCTGGCTCTCGGTCGCTCGGCCCCTGGGGGTGCCCCTTCCCTGTCTGATTGGGGTTGTTTTCGGTTGTCTGTCGATTGTTCTGGTCGTCCCTGGCTCCTGGGCTGGCTCTCGGTCGCTCGGCCCCTGGGTTGCCCTTTCCCTGTCTGGATTTGGTTGGTTTCGGTTGTCGGTCGGTTGTTATGGTCGCCCGTAGCCCCTGGGCTGGCTCTCGGTCGCTCGGCCCCTGGGGGTGCCCCTTCCTTGGTTTTGGTTGTTTTCGGTTGTCCGTCGGTTGTTTCGGTCGCCGGTGGCTCCTGGGCTGGCTCTCGGTCGCTCGGCCCCTGGGGGGGGGGCCCTTCCCTGTCTGGTTTGGGTTGTTTTCGGTTGTCTGTCGGTTGTCTCGGTCGCCGGTGGCCCCTGGGCTGGTTCTCGGTCGCTCAGCCCCTGCGGGTCCCCCTCCCCTGTCTGGTTTTGGTTGTTTTCGGTTGTCTGTCGATTGTTCTGGTCGTCCCTGGCTCCTGGGCTGGCTCTCGGTCGCTCGGCCCCTGGGGCGCGCCTTCCCTGTCTGGTTTTGGTTGTTTTCGGTTGTCCGTCGGTTGTTCTGGTCGCTCCTGGCACATGGGATGGCTCTCGGTCGCTCGGCCCTTTGGGGTGCCCCTTCCTTGTCTGGTTGGGGTTCTTTTCGGTTGTCCGTCGGTTGTTCTGGTCGACCCTGGCCCCTGGGCTGGCTCTCGGTCGCTCGGCCCCTGGGGTGCCCCTTCCCTGTCTGGTTTTGGTTGTTTTCGGTTGTCCGTCGGTTGTTCTTCTCGAAACTGGCCCTGAGGCTGGCTCTCGGTCGCTCGGCCCTTTGGTTGCCCCTTCCTTGTTTGGTTTTGGTTGTTTCGGTTGTCCGTCGGTTGTTTCGGTCGCTCCTGGCCCCTGGGCTGGCTCTCGGTCGCTCGGGGCCTTTGGGGGCCCTTCCCTGTCTGGTTTTGGTTGTTTTCGGTTGTCTGTCGGTTGTTCTGGTCGTCCCTGGCTCCTGGGCTGGCTCTCGGTCGCTCGGCCCCTGGGACGCCCCTTCCCTGTCTGGTTTTGGTTGTTTTCGGTTGTCTGTTGGTTGTTCTGGTCGCTGCTGGCCTTGGTCTGGCTCTCGGTCGCTCGGCCCCTTGGGGTGCCCCTTCCTTGTCTGGTTTTGGTTGTTTTCGGTTGTCCGTCGGATGTTCTGGTCGACCCTGGCCCTTGGGCTGGCTCTCGGTCGCTCGGCCCCTGGGGGTGCCCCTTCCCTGTCTGGTTGGGGTTGTTTTCGGTTGTCTGTCGGTTGTTCTGGTCGCGTTGGCTCCTGGGCTGGCTCTCGGTCGCTCGGCCCCTGGGGCGCCCCCCCCTCCCCCCCGGTGGTTCGAGTAGTTTTCGGTTGTCCGTCGGTTGTTTTTGTCGCTCCTGGCCCCTGTTCTGGCTCTCGGTCGCTCGGCCCCTGGGGGTGACCCTTCCCTGTTTGGTTTTGGTTGTTTTCGGTTGTCTGACGGTTGTTCTGGTCGGCCCTGGCTCCTGGGCTGGCTCTCGGTCGCTCGGCCCCTGGGGTGCCCCTTCCCTGTCTGGTTTTGGTTGTTTTCGATTGTCCGTCGGTTGTTCTGGTCGGTCCTGGTCCTTGGGCTGGCTCTCGGTCGCTCGGCCCCTGGGGGTGCCCCTTGTCTAGTTTTGGTTATTTTGTTTTGGTTGTTTTCGGTTGTCCGTCGGTTGATTCGGTCGTTTCTGGCCCCTGGGCTGGCTCTCGGTCGCTCGGCCCCTGGGATGCCCCTTCCTTGTATGATTTTGGTTGTTTTCGGTTGTCCGTCGGTTGTTTCGGTCGTAACTGGCGTCTGGGCTGGCTTTCGGTCGCTCGGCCCCTGGGGTGCCCCTTCCTTGCATGTTTTTGGTTGTTTTCGGTTGTCCGCTGGTTGTTTCGGTCGCCCCTGGCCCCTGGGCTGGCTCTCGGTCGCTCGGCCCCTGGGGCGCCCCTTCTTTGTCTGGTTTTGGTTGTTTTCGGTTGTCTGTCGGCTGTTTCGGTCGTAACTGGCCACTGAGCTGGCTTTCGGTCGCTCGGACCCCTGGGGCGTCCCTTCCTTGTATGGTTTTGGTTGTTTTGGTCGGCCCTGGCCCCTGGGCCTCAGGGCCGCCGGGGGCTCTCACGTTGGTCGGCAGTTTGCCCGACGCCCTATGAGTGTTCACAGAAGCGTAAGTCGACGACGTTGGTCGGCCGTTTGCCCGACCAACGTGGGGGTGTAGACAGGTTGGGGGGCCTGGTCCATTCGCTCTCCCACCCATCCCATAACCACTTGGCGGGCTTGGCCCCAGGGGGCTCGGCGAGGGCCTCCGAGGGCCTCCGGGCCGGCGGGGGCTTTCGCGTTGGTCGGTCGTTTGCCCGACCATCGCGGCCCCTGGGGGGCCCATTCCTTGTCATGGTTTTGGTTGTTTTCGGTCGTCCATCGGTTGTTTCTGTCGCCCTTGGCCCCTGGGCTGGCTCTCGGTCGCTTGGCCCCTGGGGTGCCCCTTCCTTGTCCTGTGTTGGTTGTCCGTCGGTTGTTTCGGTCGCTCCAGGCCTATGGGCTGGCTCTCGGTCGCTCGGCCCTTGGGGTGCCCCTTCTTTGTCTGGTTTTGGTTGTTTTCGGTTGTCCGCTGGTTGTTTCGGTCGCCCCTGGCCCCTGGGCTGGCTCTCGGTCGCTCGGCCCCTGGGATGCCTCTCCTGCGGCCGTATCGGGGGTTACGTTGGTGACGGTGATGCTAATGCTGATGTTGATGCTGATTCTAATGTTGGTTTTGATGTTGCTTCTGATGTTGGTCATGACGACAAAGCTGATGATGCTGATGATGATGATGATGATGATGATGATGATGATAATGATGATGATGATGATGATGATGATGATGATGATGATGATGATGATGATGATGATGATGATGATGATGATGATGATGATGATGATGATGGTGTGGAGGGGGGCGCGGCGCGCGCCGGGCGGCGCAGGGGCGACCAGAACAACCGACAGACAACCGAAAACAACCAAAACCAGACAGGGAAGGGGCACCCCCAGGGGCCGAGCGACCGAGAGTCAGCCCAGGGGCCACGGGCGACCGAAACAACCGACAGACAACCGAAAACAACCAAAACCAGACAAGGAAGTGGCACCCCCAGGGGCCGAGCGACCGAGAGCCAGCCCAAGGGCCAGGAGCGACCAGAACAACCGACGGACAACCGAAAACAACCAAAACCAGACAGGGAAGGGGCGCCCCAGGGGCCGAGCGACCGAGAAGCGTGAAGTTATGCGCGCATCGCGCTTCGCGAGCCCCTCGCTTTGTCCCGAGGGGGTTCGGCGTAAAAGCGTGAAGTTATTCACGCTTCACGCTTCACGCAGCGTGAAGCGTGAAGTTAGATGCCCTTGTTTAGGTGACTTTCGGTTACCGATTCTGCAATATCGAAGCGCTGCCAGGTTGATAGAAGGAGGATGGAGGAGAGAGGATGGAGCGAAGGAGGCAGGACGGAGGAAGGAGTAATGAATGTCTCTCAATTGTCCATCTTCGCTCTCCAGTTTGACGTTGCGTTCGCCATCATGCCTGCTGTGTGTAGGATCATTGCGTCATATGTGTTGAAAACCGTTGTGGATTCTCAAGGATAGGCCAACGGTGCCATCATGTTCACATGCTCTTCGTCCTCCTACCCCTCCTCCTCCTCCTCCTCCTCCTCCTCCTCCTCCTCCTCCTCCTCCTCCTCCTCTTCCTCCTCCTCCTCCTCCTCCTCCTCCTCCTCCTCCTCCTCCTCCTCCTCCTCCTCCTCTCCTCCTCCTCCTCCTCCCCCTCCCCCTCCCCTCCCCCTCCCCTCCTCCTCCTTCCCCCCTCCTCTCCTCATCTTCTTCTTCTTGCCCGCCTCCTACTCCTGCTGCCCCCGCTCCCCTCCACTGCGAGATCGGGGGGGGGCGCTTGGAACGTCGAAGTGCGCGCGGGCAGGCTCGCCTCGGTGGAGCAGTGGCGCCTGGACTATGAGACAGGCTGGCCAGTTCGGGCGAGCGCGCGTGCACCGGACGAGGCTGAGGTTAAGCCACGTTCGGTAGTGGTGTTGGTTGTGACTAGGGCAGGGCGATGACGGCGGGGGTGATGATGACAATGGCGTTGGCATCCACAACGGCCGTGTTTCCAGTGATGGTGATGGTAGCGTGCATGCGAGAGACTGGGCAAGACCAACCAATGTTTTTCTGGCGGAGGTTGCGAGAATTGCTCGAATGAATAATCTGTGCTCCTGCGACGAGGACTTCGACTCTGTCCATGGAGCGCCCCTGAAGGGGGCAGACACAGTTGTTTTATGCTTTTGCAGTGTCGCCGTGTCGATGAAAATGCGGTGAGGCGGGAAGCCCCCTCGACCCGACAGGGAGGCCTGGTGAAGGAAGGAGAGGGCGGTGTAAATAGCACGGGGCGTGACAGGGGGCCTTAGATGGCCCAGGAGGGCTCTGAGAATGGCCCAAGACGGCTCACAGAGGGTGTGGAAGCAGTCCGCAAGGGTTTTCAGTGGTCGTCGTTTTTGTTTTGCCGATCGGCGCCGGCCCTTCCCCCCCCTCCCCCCCCGTGGAGTAGATCTTGTCCGTTTTGGCGCCTGTTTCACGCAGGTGGAGTCTCCCTCATTGTACGCACGGTTCCAAACAGTCGCACCAAGCAGAGGTCCAGAGCCAGACCCGCCCCTCCCCCCCCTTCCGCCCAATGTCGAAACTCCGAATCTGCAAACGTTCGCATGGGGTGGATCGAAAACGGTGGGTGAGGCTAAGCAGGAGAAGCGGAGGGAAACACGGGAGCTGCTGTTCAAACTAGATGTGGGCCCTCAGCAGGGCCTCCGGGGACCACCTGGGGGCGTCCCAGACGACTCAGGAGGGCCCAGATGGCTCCAAGAAGCTTTCAGGACTACCCAAGAGGTCTCCAAGGTATCTGAAGGTGGCCAGAAAGGCCCGAAGTGTTTCAAGAGAGGCTTCAGGAGAGGTTCCAACGAAGCGCAAATATCCTGTGGCCTTCGGCCCATCCCGCCACCGTGCCGGGGTTGTAGGTCAGAGGCCTCTGGGATGCCTGTTGGGATCTCTTGGGAGGCCTTTCGGAAGCCTCTTGGATTCGGTTTTGGGGTCTCGTGGGGCCTGATTGGGGCCTCTTGGGGGCCTCCTGGAGCTTGTGGGGGGCCTCTTGGGGGCGTGCTGGCGGTCTCGGGGGCCATCTTGGGGCGAAGGGCTCGAAATCTCGGTTCGTGTTCCCCCCCTGGGGCCTCTCGTGGGCCCCTTTGGGCCCTATCGGGCCAAGAGGCCGTCTTGGGGTTGTCTTGGGTCGTCTCGGGGTGCCCTTGGGGTCCTCTTGGGCCGTCTTGGGGGCCTCTTGGATCTCTTGGAGCGCGGAAAACCCGAAAAGTCGAGAGCCCTATTTTTGTCAAACGGTTATATGATAAGGAAAACCAGTGACTTGGGCATCTCAGGGCCCTCTTGGTGGGCCTCTTGAAGGATAGCGCGGCCCGCGGTGAGGACTTTAGGAGGGGTGGCTCGAACGCTGAGGAGGGGTGAGCACGAGGAGGGAATAGATGAGGCTTGACGAAGGGCACTCCTGGCAGGACCTCGCGGCGGAGATTTCACACGCCGTTCCTTGGCGGGGTGGCGGACGGCTTCGCGCATTCCGCCGGCCCATTTTGCACCGTCCTGGCCATCAGCTTGCGTGCTCGTGGGCATCCGGAAGTTGTTGGGTGGTGGCAGTTTCTCCTCGCTTGCGACATTGACCATCTCTGGGGCCTCCAGCTGATTTTTTTTCAGAACTGCGAGCGTCGAGCAATGGGGGTGCGATGAATGGAGGGGGTGAAGAAAGGCGTGTAGTTAAGTCGGGCACGTCCCTCCACAGGAGGAATATTCAAAAATAGTAAGAATAGTGTGGGGACGATTTTATGAGTATTTGTTTAAACTATTTTGATATTTTTGACAATTTTTCGTTATTCCTCCAAGGTCCGCCTGCAGGAGGACATGCCCGACCAAAGTGTACAGCTTATGCCTTCATGGGGGCCGTCAAGGGGTCCACGGGGGCCCCAAAATGGGCACGACGGGTGCACGCTCCCTCCCCCGCCCTTACCGCCCCCCCCCCCATCGGTCAACGCCCGACTCTCCCGCAGTCGGTGAGACGGCCTCATTCTCGGGGCGGTAGCGGCGCCGGCATGGTGTCAGTTCTGGTGCGAGCGAGCTCCGAGTGTTGATCCCCCCCACCATCCCACCCCCGTTCCTTGGCCGCTTCGGTCCTCGCCCACGCCCTCGTCCTTCACTCGGGGGGCAAGCAATACTGTAGGAGAAGATAAGCTGTTTTCTCTGTTTCTTTGCCAGGCCCCACTCGATGGGGGAGGGATCACGCCATGCAGAAAAACGAAGAAATTGATTATATCGAAGACGCCTACAGCGAATCACCGCCGCCCCCTGCCCCTTTGGAAGCGTCTTTGTGGCCAACAGCTGGGCTAGAGCTCGGCCAAGCTATCGGGCCAGTTGTTCCCCGAGTCGGTTTGGAAAGCCTTCGGGGAACGCGTGGGGGAGCAATAGGAGGAGGAGGATCAGGAGAGGGAGGAGGATGATGATAAGGAGGATGAGGATGAGGATGAGGATGAGGATGATGGGGAAGGAGAAGGAGGAGTAGGAGGAGGAGTCTTCGTGGGAACCGTCTTGCGAGGCCTCTTGGGAGGCCTCTGCGGAGCTTCCTGGGGGCCTTTTGGAGGCCTCTTGGGAGCTTCTTGGGGGCCTTGGGGGACTTCTTGGGGGCCTCTTTGGCCGTCTTAGGGCGTTCCCGACCCGTCTGACACCGTCGGAAGCCGTCTTGGGGGCCTCTCTGAACCGACTTGGGGCTCTCTTGGGGCGCTTCAGGGCCGTCTTGGAGATTATCTTGGTTGTCTTTGAGGTCGCCGTTTGGGGGGCCTCTTGGGCCGTCATGCGGCCATCTTGGACGCCTCTTGGGCGATCTTGGGGCGATCTTGGGGGCCTCTTGGGCCGTCTTGAGCCGTCGGAATGCAGAAAAAGAGCAAATGCCAAAATTCTTCAAAAACTTGTGGGTCTCTTCGGGTCCTCCTGGAGGACCTCTTGGAGGCCTCTTGGGCCGTCTTGGATGCCTCTTGGGGGCTTCTTGGGCCATCTTGGGCCGTCTTGAGGCCATCCTGGGCCGTCTTGGGTGCATCTTGGGCCCACCAGCGACCCGCCCGCGACCCGCCCGCGACCCGCCCCGCGACCCGCCTTCGACCCACCCGCGACCCACCTCGCGCCCCGCGCCCGTCCCCTCACTCTTATCCGCAATTTCGGGGTGCTACATTCTGCGCTTTTTGCAGGGCGCTGGCTTTGATGTCGACGGGCCAGATGTTGTGACCTCTTGTGACCGTTGACCAGCTGGGAACGGTATGTTTGGTCCTGCGAGACGAGTCAGTAGAAGTCAAGCGCTGCGATGCCAACCACCCCACCCCATCCAGGGCCGAGTGCTGGGACGGGCACTGCTCGTAGGTGGGCGTACGTTTGTTCTCCTCCTCTCCGGTCTCGCTCTGCCTCTCTCTCTTTCTCTCTTTCTCTTTCGCTTTCTTTATCTTTTCTCCCGCGGCCCCGGCACCAGACCCGCTTTAGGTCTGCTGTGAGCAGGGGCCAGGCGCGTCGGCCGCGTGTCCAAAAACTCCTAGCCAAGGGCATGTCCACCGAGAGCTTCTCAACTCCAGGACAGGGCGACAGCCGCCCCAGTGCCAGCGACAAGACACGCTCCGAGAAGCAGCGGCTCGGAGAGCAAGAAGGTGATCGTTTTCTTCTTCATTGTTTTGCCGATCGGCGCAGGCCTTCGCCCCCCCTCCCCTCCCCCCGCCCTCCCATGGACTAGATCTTTGCCGCTTTTGGCGCCTGTTTCGAGCAGGTGGAGTCTCCCCCGTCGGATGCACTGTTGCAAACGGTCGCACTCAGCAGAGGTCTGGAGCCAGACCCCCCCCCTCCCCCTTCCGCCCAGTGTCGAAACGCCGGCGAAGAAAACGCTCACCGGGAGGGAGGAGGGAGCAGGAGAGACCGGCAGGCGGGCGCGTCGAGGGGAGGCGTGAGCCACCGGACCCTCCCCTTGGGCGCTCACGCGCCCGCCGGAGGCAAGGAACGGGGGAGGAGGAGGGGAGGAGGGGGAGGAGAGGGGCCGAAGGAAGGCGTGGGCCTCAAGGAGGGCTATACGCGGCCTGGCGCTCAGCCTAGCCTGGCGGCACGCTGGCGTTCCAGGGCCAGCTGTTTTTTTTGTTTTTTTTGTCTGTTGTCTTTCTCTCTCTCTCTCTTTCTCTGTCTGTCTGTCTGTCTGTCTGTCTGTCTGTCTGTCTGTCTGTCTGTCTGTCTGTCTGTCTGTCTGTCTATCGAATGGCCTTCGGCCCGCCACCGTGCATGGGTTACGCGTTGGGATCTCGTGGGGGGGGCCTCTCGGGGGCCTCTTGGCGGCAGTTTTGAGGCTTCTTGGGGCAGTTTGGGAGCCTCTTTTGGGGGCCTCTTAGGCCTCTTGGGGTGTCCTCTCAGAGGATTCATGTGGCGTCTTGGCGGGCGGCCCAGAGAACTCCCAGAGTGCCTCCCAGACGGCTTCTGAAAGCGTCAGGCGGGCCGAGAGCGCCTCAGAGGAGCCCGAGGGAGCACCAAGACGGTCCACCGGGGTCCCCGGGACCCTTTCAGATGCCCTCCAGACGGCCGAAGGTGTCTTCAAGACGGCCCTCGAGGCCCCACGAGAACCCGAGAGCAGGAAGGAAGCATGAGATATCGGACAGGAGAGAAGAGCGGGAAGGGAGGGACGGCGGGTGGAAGGGAGGAGCCAGGGGGAGGAGGACGTAGAGGGGAGAGGAGACGGATTAGAAATCGGGGAGGGCGAGTAACAGGAGGAGTGCGGCACACGCACACACAGACACACACACAGACACACACACAGACACACAGACACACACACACACACACGCACACACACACGCACACGCACAGGCACACGCACATGCGCACGCACACGCACACGCAAACGCACACGCACACGCACACGCACACGCACACGCACACGCACACGCACACGCACACGCACACGCACACGCACACGCACACGCACACGCCCACGCCCACCCCCACCCGCACCCGCACCCGCACACGCACACGCGCACACGCACACGCACACGCACACGCACACGCACACGCACACGCACACACACACGCACACGCACACGCACACGCACACGCACACGCACACGCACACGCACACGCACACGCACACGCACGCACACGCACACGCACACGCGCGCGCGCGCGCGCGCGCACGCGCACGCGCACGCGCACGCGCACGCGCACGCGCACGCGCACGCGCACGCGCACACGCACACGCACGCGCACGCGCACGCGCACGCGCACGCGCACGCGCACGAGCACGCGCACGCGCACACGCACACGCACACGCACACGCACACACGCACACACACACACACCCGCACACACACCACACACACATATACGTAGCACCTCGCAGATGCGGATAAGAGTGAGGGGGCGGTGGGGACGTCGGCATTTTGCGAGAGTCTGGAGATGCCCGCCGCAGGCGCCAAAGTTTCACAACTTATACAACGAGCCCACCGCAGGCGCCGATTTTTCGTTAAAGCAATGTGGGTAGGTCGAGGGTGGGTCGCTAAGTGGTCGCGGGTGGGTCGTTGTTGGGTCGCGGGTGGGTCGCGGGTGTAGAGGGCAGAAAATTGTAGAGGGCAGAAAATCCACCCCATAATAATCACCCCGACAAGCGAAGTCGTTTAGTAAACGCACACAAGGAATGAATCGAACAGGGCAGGGCTGTTTAGTCAACGCCCAGGGCCGTTGTAGGAAACGTCACTTGTCAGGTCCGGTAGTTGTTCCTTCCTTGAGGGTGGCTCGCGGGGTGGGTCGCGGGTGGTTCGCGGGGTGGGTCGCGGGTGGGTCGCGGATGGGTCGCGGATGGGTCGCGGGTGCGCGGGTGGATCGCGGGGTGGGTCGCGGGTGGGTGGCGGGTGGGTCGCGGGGTGGGTCGCGGGGTGGGTCGCAGGTGGGTCGCGGGGTTGGTCGCGGGTGGGTCGCGGGGTGGGTCGCGGGGTGGGTCGCGGGGTGGTTCGCGGGTTGGGTGGCGGGTGGGGTCGCGGGTGGGTCGCGGGTGGGACGACGACAACGAACAACAACAACAACAATAACAACAGCAATTACAACAACAACGCAACAAGCATACTTCTCACCAGTAATTCCTTTTTCAGCCACGCACCCAGGGACATTGAATTACCGCTCGGCCACCTCACTCTGATATCTCTCTCTCTCTATACAGTCATACGCGCATGTACATCTACATATACATGTACATATACTTTGACATGTACATATACATATACATGTACATGTACATATACATATACATGCACATACACATACACATACACATACGCATAACCATACACATTTACATATACAGGTGCATCTGCATATACATATACACATTCACATACATACATGTACATCTACATCTACATATGCATCTACATCTACATCTACATGTACAGTTTCACTACATATGCATCTACATCTACATCCACACATACATCTACATCTACTAGACATACATACATACATACATACATACATACATACGTACGTACGTACGTACGTACATACATACATACATACACACATACACACATGTCTATACATATACATACATTTAACATTTGGTGAAGCACTTGCAAGACAGACGTGGCGATACGCACCCATTGTGTCGAGACGTTGACTTGTGTTGCGCTAAAACCTATGCGCGCGAAGCGCGCGTGGTTCTAGTATGTATGTAAGTCTCGCTCCCTCTGCCTCGTCCACCTCCCCTGTCCCTGTCGCCGTCCCCGTTCTACTCCCCTGTCCCTTCGCCCCGCCCCATCCCCGCCCCTTTCTTCCCTTCCTTCTCCGCGCCGCTGGATAGGCGGGCCCGGGGCCGTTCACGTCTCCGAGTTCGCGGAGATCCGCGCTGCGTCGCCCAGCGGGCCGCGCTTTGCTTGCGCCCCCGTCGCAGGGACAGACGCAGGGGAAGGAGGATGATCAGTGGGTGGAATGGGTTTGTGACGCTTGCACCCATACCTATGCGACGCTTGTTTTTTTCGGGATGGAATTCCGTGGGGCCTATGTGGATGGGGGTCCCCGCTCGAACTGGAGCATTCCTCACCGTTCTTCCCGATTCGTCCGCCCAAAAAGTCTGACCATGTGCTGTTCTCTCGTGAAGGACGGAAGGAGAGCAGCGTCGCCGCTTGCCACGACATCGCATCGACCCCTCCCCCCTCCCCCACTCAAATTGGAAAGGTTGCCGCTGCTTGGCCCTAGCGTGGACGCAAATCTTCGCATTACTTTTTGTATGAGGAGTAAATGCTCCGCAATCTATTTGTTATTTCCGATATGCTTTCTCTCGTACAGCTTCTTATTTGCTAGCGGCCAGCTCGCGATCCACGGAACGTGCGAAGAGTACAATGTGGACGCGCATTCGCAGTTACCTTCATTTCCGCATCGGTACCATCTTCATCAATTACTGTAACAGCCTGTTCTTATGGCTTTTCTGCAAACCAAACGGCAGTTCTCCTCGGACACCCAGTCCGACTGCGAGGGCACCAGCAGAAGGCGTAAATGCGATGAGGAATCCAATCGCCCACAGGAGCGCCACGACGTTCCTCGACTCATCGCAACCCCACAGGCACTGGCCGTAGCTTCGCGTCGGGCATGAGTGCGAGGCTCTTTCCTGGGCTAGCGCCGTGCATCGGCACGTGTGCGATAGTGTTGGCTGTCTTTGTGAGCACACTGCACCATTCGAGCGGGGCACTGCAAGCCAATATACAATTGTTCACCGATTTCGGTTTCGACCAAGGTTGGCCACGGCATCACCGTGGTTGCCCCGCACTTCGACATGGCGTTCGTCCTTGCGCAGGCCCGGGTCCCAAGGCACTTACGCAGCCATCATCGCGGTGACGTTTTTGCGAGGTGTATATCCGTCTTGACGCTCTGGGGCAGTATCTTCGTGTTCTTCGTGGCCGTCCTGCTGTGGCTCACGGGTATGATGCCTTGTGTAGCCGGTTCACAGGGCGGCGGCAATCGCGATGCCATCATATCTCGCAAGCCGCCCTCATGGTCACCCGGTCGCGAGTCCATGTATCCCTTCCGCCACTGGGTACAGGACTTGCTCCTTTAGAGCGTGCTCGCCACCGACTCATGGGCAGTGCTCAACAACGCGCCGCTGTCATCCTCAGCCTTGGCGGGGCCGCTCGCGAGCTTCCGCGCTTCATGAGTTTCACGAGGTGACTGAGGGAGGCATGGTCAATAGCCAGCCAGAAGACGTCGCGACCAAACTTATCGCTAATTTCGCCACGCAGTTCGGTGCACCAGGCGAAGAGTCACGCTTTCAAGCGACCCGCGAACTCTTCTAGCTCTCGAGGTGACGCAACCAAACCACCGACGGGCTGATCTCGCGGTTTCTCACGCTGCGATTCCGAGCTATGCGCAACGGTTGAGCGGAGCCGCGATGTCGTGGGGGCTACAGCTGGCTGCTCCTCCGAGCGGTCGGTGTCGCCGTTAGCCAACTCATGACGTTGCCCCAGCCGTGCGACAACCGATTCCCAGCCACAGGCCGAGTTCAACAGTCTCACGACGATGCTCAGGCGCGCGGGTCACATCGTGGAGCACGCGCCAAACAACATCGCCAGCGCTCTTCGCGTGCCGCCATCTTTCGGAGGATTCGTGGGCATGACCAATGGCGACTGTAACGAGGCACATGGCCCCTGGCACACGCGAGGTCTCGACCCCTGGGCCACTGGCGCCGCCGAGCCTCCTGGAACAGGAGGTGCCCCGATGTGCGCTACCGGCCCGTCGCAGAGCGCCGCGCGGGCGCCCGCGCGCGGGGCCGACTGCGACAGCGGGGCCTCCCTACGCGAGCTCGGCCCCAGGCGGAGAGGTCAACTGCCGAATTCGCGAGCTCCAATGTCTTGGTCCTGTCCAGATAGATGTTCGGCTGTTCTGGCAAATTGAGACTGCTGAGCGACGGCGGCGCAGACGCACGAATAGCCCGACTCGCGCGGCACGTAGAGCACCAAGAACGGCAACGGCACCTCCGCCCAGGCAAGGGCCCCCAGAAGTACGCATCTCTCATGGGGCTCTCAGATACCCAAGTAGATCAAGCCCCCATCGGTGAAAAAGGACAGGGCATTGGCGAACGCTCGTCAGGCACTGGAAAATGCAGAGGCCGCAATCCGCAAGGCTACGACGGGGCCGTCATGGCTCGATGCATCTGCGGGCGCGAGTGCCGCTTCCGCACTGAGTGCCCGCGAGGCATCGCGTCGCCACCGCCGGGCAGCGGCAGCGGCGGCCAGTTTGGAGATTGCGCGGATGCCGGACCCATAGACGGCACCCTGGACTCCGGTTCTCTAGCCGGGATCTCGGGATTGCTTTCGCGGTCGCTGGGGCCCCTCTCAGCCGCCGCCGGGCCGCGACGCTGCGCCGGCGCAGCCGTCCGCCGACGGCCCCTGGCAGATACTTGGATAAGTCCATTCCTCGCGGCCAGCAGTCTCGCTCACCGCGGCCCAGAGCTACGCGCGCGCCGACGCGCCAGTTGCCCCGCCTCCGCCGCAGATGTTCAACGTGGCAACGCCAACATCAGGGCCGCCCCAACTTCCAGCGCCGCCGCCCCCCCGCCGCGCCGCCGCCGCGGAGCCGGCGGCAGCTGCCGACGGAGCGGGGGGCGGCAGATCCATGGGGCCCCCGCGAGATGAGCCTCGTCGCCCAACGGTGCAGCGCAGGTGTTGCCGTCCTCGCAATGGGCCAGCCCGCGGTTCCTGATGGCCAGCGCGTCACCATTCCTCGCATTAGTGGTTTCGGCCAACTCGCGCGCCTACGACAGGGTCAGCTGGCGCGAGCTGCTCTGCCAGAGACAGCGCCGCGGATTTGAGCGCCCAGTTGAAGTGCCAACCGCGGCCAGCAGGACCAACGCCTTGCACGACCTGGCCCCGGGGATCTCCATCCGGCTGTTTCCCGCGGCCAGATTGGAGGCCGACCGCAAAGCTCAGATGGAGCAACGGCCCCCTCACCGCCGCGAGCGCGCGTCCAAGATATGATCGACATGGTCATGGCTGGGCCCCCGACTGTCGCGCCGCCGCCGCTGCCGTCGGATCAACGCGCAGATTCAGAACTTACTGGAGTTGAAATCGAGAACGATGAGGCATCTGTTTGGGCTACTAGATCAACCTGGATCTTACGCGTATTCTCCGGCGTGGCCAGCGCGCCCATCAAAGCTGCGCCGACGCCCGGGCTGCCGCTAGCTGCGGCAACGTCCGGCTGCGAGCCGCAGGAAGCGCTCCGTGGCGGCCGGGCCCGAGTACCGCGCCCACAATGCCCAGCGTGTAGGCGCCGTTTGGTACCGCTCGAGGTCGCGCGCATCCAGATCGCCAGCGCACCCCGTGAAGCACCCGATGAGGACATGCTCTCCGGCGCCGACGGTGTCTCGATCGCTTCGCGAGCCGCGCCAATCGGCGAGATCGCCTTCAGCGCTCCTGCATCCACCTGGGGACAGCCTTCGCCTCGAGGCCCACGGCAAGGCGCAAGGCGGCGAAGCCGATGTTTTGCCCAGGTGGCCAGCCACTGGCCCAGCGAACGAGTGCGCTACTCAGGTGTATCGCAGTTGCGCGCAGCCCCCCTCAGGTGAGCTCAGCGCCATCGTGGACCCAGTGCATGGGCCAACCTCATGGGCGAGAAGCTTGCGCGCCAGTTGCGCCGCTGGGCCGTAGGTGTTGGGCGCCGGCTGCAGCGGCTCCTCGCGGGCAAGCCTCTGAGCGCGCATGGTGCTGGCAACGGGAACCAAAAGTGCACCCATTAGGCGCGCGCCCCCATAGCCGTCACGGATGAACAGGGCAGAGCTACCATCCAAAGTTCCACGGCCTATTGTCAGACGGTCGGGCAGCGATTTGCGCGGCCTGCTCGGCCAGCGCAGCATGGGGCCCATGCGCGCGCTCATGGACATGGGCCAGCGCGCGCTGGTCTTGCCCGGCGGCGGCGGCATCCAGATCCAATGGCCCGCGGTGGCCGCTCGCATCCCACTGCGGAAAGCTCCGAGCGGACACCTCGCGATGGTCATCGACGGCTGCGAGAGGGCCGCGCTAGCCGCAGGTGGCACGCCCGACCGCAGCTTCCAGCTGCGCCCCCGCACCGACGAGGCGGAGACGGAGGCGGAGGACGCGGCGCCAGCCGCTGCCCCCTCCGGCCAGGAGGCCGCAGCGGTCGAACCTCGGCTCGCATTGAGCTGCGGCCCCTACGCGGGGCACCCTGGCTCTCCTGGCTGGGGGGCCATCGTCGAGTCCCAGCCGCGCTCCAGTGATAGAGCTCGCGCCGACATGCGAGCCCTTGGGCAGCATGTGTGGCAGATAGATGTGAGCGCTCCATCCTACCAACATCATCTTTCCCCACTTCTCTGTTCGCCTCGGTGAAGTCGCCCGACGCGAGGGGTAACCGGTTTGGATTATGATGCCGCCTAACCGCATCTATCATGGGAATAAGTATTGTCGTGCCGGAGAACTACTGCGTGAATTACTACTGACGTGCCGAAGACACGACGCACCATTTGCTGCGTTAGACATGGCAAACCAGCTTTATCTTACCATCGAAGTGGCCACGAGTCCAGCAGTCGGCGCGAAGCTATTTATCATGCGGTTCTGCCGACTCGGGCTGTCACCACCGCCCGACAAGTCGCCGGCCAAGACGGCCTTCCATCTCGTCGCGACGATAGAAAAGGAGGCCAGCTTGCTGCGCGCATGTCCGAAAGACCCGTTGCACCGAGAGCCCCGGCACTCGCGGTGCGAATGCGAGCCCCCGACCAGCGTGCACGCGCGGATGATCGAACGACGCGGTGCAATCCCACGACATGCCATGCGTTGCATTGAAGAACGTGCTCGGCGTGAAGCACTGGGAGTCAGCATGCCCGACCTACTATATGAGGCAGTGTTTGCAGAGAACTGTT